GAGAGAGAGAGAGAGAGATACCACTCTCTTTAATTCCAGTTACACGGCAACTATTGCAATCAAACGCAAAAAAGAAGCATCTTATATAAAAATTAAAATACAATAATCAACATAACTTTTCGTGATGAAGTCTGACAAGCTATATCATATAACATTAACATTTGTGAACTAATTTTTCGCACAGAACAAAACACATTGCAGTCTCTTGCAACAACATGGCGACCAGAACAAACATCGCAATGTTTCTCATACTCATAACAATAATGCCACTGCGGTTTCTACTGTATTCGACATGTTATTTTTATTATTTCTGTGTTCCATAGTCAACTGTTCCAACGCCCGTTGCCATTGATGTTAATCGCCCTCTCACAGTGTACACTTGTATTTTGTAACGCTTGTTAAGACGCCAAACTACGAATAATTTCAATATTCTAACATCGAATTTAATACTTTTACTAAACTATAACGCAAAGACTCATCTATATGTTAATTTTCACGCATATTATAGTATTTACTTTTAGAAATTTATTCGTGGTTTGGCACAGTAACCCATGTACACCATGAGTTTGTGTAATTTTCCAACACTACTTATGGGCACTGGAACTTGGAAGTGGGGCCAGAAACCGAAAACAACCGTTAGATCTTCAGGTAGGTTAATGTCTCAACGATAAAAGTATAATCTAAGTCTATTAGACTGCTCAAACTTTCAAGAAAAAGCAATAACCGTCGTACTTACTTGTAGCAAGTTCGCTGTTGTAATTTCGAAGAGCAGCACAATCCAGACTCCGACTCATGATAACAGCTTTAAGTAATAATTGTCGTAAACAGCACGAATTATTTGTTTAACTCTTAAATTTTTTCAAGCGTTATATTTTCTATAAGTAATTTAATGGTAATTTTAAAAATATAACTGTAAAAAAGCACCAAAAATTTCGACAAAGCTAATTTGAATTAAGCCTATTTTAAATTTCAAGACATCATTCGTAACGTGGTATTTTTTATTTAATATTATTATTAACTACGCCCTCATACCTTATTATAAAACTGGTAAAAAGTGAAGGGATAAAAATATTTTTATTGATATTTTATTTTGTTTTAGTGAGAAGAAAGAGGAACACCTATATAAGACAAACTGTTGAATTTGGTAAACGAATTATTTTATTTTTATAAGAATAATGCATATACTTGAAACACTACAATCGAAAACGAAGTAAAAATAAAATAAAAATAAATGTATATATTATGAAGATCGCGGTAACAACGTTTTTAACTGCGTCATCTACTCAGACGAATCATTCCAGTGTTTAAAACGTAAGAATGTTCATTCGTATTTTATAGATAAATAACAATTTATTCTAATAATATATTAATACACCAAACGTTTACAGAGCTATATTAGCATGCACGAGTATTGCTCCTATATATATATATATATATATATGAGCAGATGTATCGATTTCTTTTCGGGTAGGATCCACACAATAACAGGAGATTCGACAGAATTTGTTTTACGGCGTAAACTTCAATTTTCCACTTTGACTGAACTTGCGAGCAGATCACAGATAACCCATTGTGTGGCTTAGTTACGTCATAAAGTTCGTTGTCTGTAACTAGCGTACATACGATCAGGAGTGTGATCAGGTTGTTACATTTTGATTGGACACCGAACCGTTTGTTGATTTTTAACAAATATATAGCAGTCAATAGAAATTTATCTTTAAATGGTGAAAAAAACAACAACTTATTTTCCTTACTATTAACTATTATATGTTTCACAAATTAGAGCAAGTTTGTACTGATGTATCACAGAATTTCCACCTTAATCGGAACATGTTAAAAAATTGACAGCATACCCCCTGCATATGATGCTACAACAAAATCAACATGGCGGATCTGGCCCTAGTGAAACTTTCTCAGTTTACAACTTCTACTATGACATATTTATGTTGTCCAGTCTTGGAAATAAAATAAAATAAAAACGCCTTTCTAACCAAATAACACATGCAGGTAACAGACCTACTTCGACACAAGTTCTAGAAGCCCAAGTTACTACTTATAATTCAGTCACATTTTTCAAAGCAAACAAATGCTTAAATTTAAAGATACAAAAAATATTAACATTATTAGTGTTTGTTGGTAAGAAATTATTGTCGCGTTTTGTAACACATTTATTAACCACCCCCTAAAAACGTACATCACGTATAATAGTTAAACGAACCGCCTAAACGCCACGTTAGTGTAGCCTATTTAATTTTTAAAGTTTAATACACTCTAATCCCTTATAGTGATGGCACATGACGAGACTCACGTTCGGTATGTAATGCTATTTGAATACAAGAAAGAAAACAACGCATCTGTAGCCACAAAGAATATCAAGGAAGTTTATGGAAATGTTTTGAACTTTCGTAAATGTCAACGATGGTTCAGCAAATTTCGTTCAGGTGACTTAGCCTTAAAATCTGTGATAGCAGGGGCCGACATGTTGGAATTGATATTGATGCTCTGAAGACGCTTGTTGAGTCTAACCCAAGGCAACACACTTGTGAAATGGCCCTGAAATTGCGTGTCTCTCATGAAACAATACGTAAACATCTAAAGAATATGGGAAAACTCCACAAAGAAGGTGTTTGTGTGCCTCACGAACTCTCCGAACTTAGGGGAGTATGACCAAATAAACAGCATTATCTTAGGGAAGTATTACCAAATAAACAGCATTATCTTACAAAGATAATCATTCTTCTGTTTCCAAAAATGCTTTAAATCAAAGAACATCCGGGGCCTGCCCACTCAACCTTTGGACCGTGCTGTGGTCCTCGAGTGATCTCCTTCCATTCTCCCACAGTTTTTGTGAGGGTATCTCATGACTTCAACATTTAAAAGTTGGTATCCAACTGTAACTCGCGTTGTAAAATCTGTCATGAACTACTCTGTGTCGCTCAGATATATAGAATAATATCACCATGCGATATGAAAGCTAAGAAACCGGGTTTCGATACCTTTGGTGGGGAGAGCACAGATAGCCCATTGTACAGCTTTGCGCTTAACTACAAACAAGCGATATGAAAGACCTAAATATAAGTATTGCTTACACGTGTCTATGTTTTTGTTTTACTTGGGCAGAGAGTTTTTAAGATGTAGTAGCAGTACACTAACCTTCTGGTTAAGATTTTTACGCCTATGCTTAATCATTTCTGTAATAGCGTGCCTGACTGTGAATCCGAGGATTCGTTGTTCACGATTTGTTGCAGTAAAAACGCTTTTCGTACTTTGGGGCTGTGGATGCGTTATACGACCAACAGTCAGATCCTACTATTCAATGAGACAACCGTAACCCATGTACTGGTGGTGGATGCTGTTGACTAGCTGCCATCCCTGTAGTCTATCAGTTGAAAATTAGGGACAGCTAGCACGAACATAGGCGGTCTTACCTATTGGGCAAACTGGGCAATTGTCCGGGGCCCCACACATAGAAGAGCCCCCGATGATCATATGTTCTACATTTAAAGTTTGATTACTGAGTTTTCTTATCATTATTGAGCCCCAGTTACTGAATTCTGCTCGGGCTCCAGAATGACTAAGATCTCCCCCGAGCACGAATAACCCCAGCGAGCTTTCCGCGAACTTCTAAAATTAACAAATGACATGTTTACGATCCGTGCCACGAGTAGCCCTAGCGAGCTTTCCACTAACCTCTAAAACAAATAACATGTGTACAATCCATGCCAAGAATAGCCCTAGCGAGCATCACACAAACTTCTAAAATAAACAAATAACACGTCTACAATCCGTGCCACGAATAGCTCTAGCGAGCTTTACACGAACTTCTAAAATAAACAAATGACATGTCCACAATCCGTACCATGAATAGCCCTAGCGAGCTTTACAGGAACTTCTAAAATTAACAAATGACATGTTTACAATCCGTGCCACGAGTAGCCCTAGCGAGCTTTCCACTAACCTCTAAAAAAAATGACATGTCTACAATCCGTGCCACGAATAGCCCTAGAGAGCTTTCCACGAACTTCTAAAATTAACAAATGACATGTCTTCAATCCGTGCTTTATATTTCATGAAAAGAAGTTCCTACTTTTATCTGCTGAATGTCAATTTTTTTATGTCTATCGGTGGGTCAACAGTAAGTTTACCGAGTTGCAACGCTAAAATGCAGAGTTCGATTTCCCGAGGTAGGCATAGCACATATGGCCAATTGATTAACTTTGCGCTGAAACAAACAATTGTTTTAATGGTTGGAGACGGCTTGAATGGATAATGAAGAAAAACGTTAATATAAGTTTAACTTAACAGCAAATGTACAATGTTTCGACAATATTTTGTCATCATCAGGTACAAGTAATTTACACTGACACGGATATATATATATATACAGTATTGAACAAAGAGTTCATATGATCGGATACTGTTGCAAAACTTAGAAGAGGTATCTTGGCACCCCGGGGTGTTGGTTTAGAGTAGGGTTGTTTTGTTCAATTAAGATGGATTCCTTGATT